TGCGTCTTTCTCTTCTTCTTGGGATTAGGTATGTTTTTTTTTTCAAAATGTTTTCATAGTACCATCTGTATTCTTCATCCACAAATTTAATTTGGACCTTTAAATTGTTTAACTTTTCAAGAGTCAAATATCCAGTTGTTTGTGCAAATCTAGTTTCTAGTCTAGTTTCAAATGAAGCATTTCCTATACCTTAACGCAGGGGTGCTCAAACTTGAACTGCTGGCGATCTACCTCAATATTTTTAGACTACTTACGATCGACTCTGAGAGACTGCAAGTGTGTGTGATGCAGTGTTGTCGTACATACACGATACACCCTATCTACCTAGGTAGGGCGTACCGTAGCATATATAGATATTAGCTTTCTGCATAATATAAGTACATTATTTTAGTCAAGGTTTGGGTTAGGTTTAGTTAGGTTGTTCTCTACAATATCAATGAAAAAAACTCATAGTTATTCAAAATTGCGAGTTTATTTGTTGTTACAAAACAAAAGAGTTACATATGGTGTTAAACTTAACTAAGGAGTGGCTTTGGATGTTGAAGCGTGGCACTGCATGTCCTCAACATACTTTTCATAAGATGGTACGTAACCACTGAGAGCTAATCGCAAGCATGATGTCATATGATCGTCAGTTAGTCGATTGCGATATTTTGACTTAATTATCTTCATTTCAGAAAATGCAGACTCGCACAAGTAAGTTGACCCAAAAAATGCCGTCAGTTGAAGGGCGATTTGCCTTACATTCGGATATTTATCTTCAGATATAAAACGCCATAAATTTGTATCAGATACTGTAGCTTTGAGATGTATATCTGATATAATCTGCACCAACTCATTTTCAACAGAACATGAGTTCATATTAAACTGACTTGCTATTTCAGTAGTTAATTCCTCAATGTTTTTACATGAAAAAGGATAACTCATAAATGATGCTATATTTTCCAATTTACTGCAATCATAAAAAACGCATTTCGAATGGTCCCAAAATATTTGATAATTCAGCCTCATACGTATCATAATTCAACTGAGGAATCGTTGCTTTCAAAGACGGAAAATGTTTCAGATCTTTTCTTTTCAGTTGATCTATCATAAGTTGCAATTTACTTTTGAATGCGTTTACTGCGCTAATCATCTCAATAAAAGTTTTTCCTTTACCTTGAAGCTCCAAGTTAACAGTGTTTAAGTGCATTGTGATGTCAGTCAAAAATGCCAAATCATTTAGCCATTTTTCGTTTTTCAAAATCTGAGTGTCATCACCTCTTTCGTCTAGAAAAGCTGTTATTTCAGGCAATAATTCTTGAAACCTTTCTAGGAATTTTCCGCGACTCAACCACTGACGTCCGTGTGAAGAACTAAATCAGTGTGTTCAGCTGACTCCCTATCTTCCAACTGCAACTGAAAGAGCCGCCGTTGCAAGCTACATGCACGGATGGAATTCACAATTTTTGTTGCTGTATAATGCAATGGAATGAAAAAAATGAAGGGAATTCTTCATTAGCTCGACACAATGCCACAAAACCGTTTTTGTTTCCAGTCATTGCTGGTGCTCCATCGGTTGTAATGCATATTAATTTATATATTGGTAGCTCGTAGTTTTTTTACAAAATTTAAGAAAACGTCATATATATCTTCGCCACGGGTCTTCCCCTTCAGAGGAATGATTGTCAAAAATTCTTTCTTAGCCAACATCACAACAGTGTCTGTCATATTGATGCATTCGTCGAACTGTAAAGAAAAGTATGTACATTCCATGATATCATGTTTTAGTTTATCTGCGATGTCTTGACTCATGACTTCAATACGCCTTGTGACAGTCGGACGAGATAACTGAAGTTCTCTAATAGCAGACATGATTCTGTTTTATTTTTAAAATCTCCAAATAAAGTCTCACCCGCTTCAATAAATGCTTCCTTCACCAAGATATCAAATCACTTCTTTCACCATATCCTTCACCATAGAAAAGAAAAATTCTTCCTCCCAATCCTTATTAAAATGATACGTTTTTGATTTCTTCACTGCACTCATTTTCCACTATTTAAGAATAAACTTTGTATCGACGTAGGATCGCTATCAAGTTACAAATCAGAATAACTCAAATTACTGCAGGCGCAACATTTATATCGGCGTGAAACTAGACTGTCTCTCGTCTAGAAACAACATGGCTTTTCTTTGACAAGTGCCGCGCGTTCCTTTGATAAAGCCACTTTTTGCCGCAAGCAGTGTTATTTTATTACGTAATACATTTTTGTAGTTGATAGAATATCATCCCAAATTTGATTAATAATTATAATAAATATTGAATTAATAAAATAATTAGTTAATATATGCAAATATAAAATATGCTGTGTGGACAGTATTTTGTTGTCCCACTTCTTTGAATTGCAATGATGCTTAGTCAAGCATTCTATGTATTTGTATAGTTCAGTATTATAAAAACTTTTAACTCTGCTAACAGTAGTTTAGTTACCTACCTACTTATTAAAAATTTTTTTCTTCTCAAGATCTACCCAAACAGCACTCGCGATCGACCAGTCGATCACGATCGACCGTTTGAGCACCCTGCCTTAACGCATTACATTAGGAATAATCTTTATTTCAACAATACATCTAGAGTTTATATATAAAAGTTTGTAGAAGGCCGTTTCAGGCCCATCGTTTAGTAATTATCTTCCAGATCCTTTTCTCTCGCTTCTTTCCTTCAATTTTCTTTTCTTGGAAATCTTCCGCAACTGCTTCCCTCCACCTTCTCCTCAGACTGCCTCTTTTCCTCTTATCTTTCGGTGTTCTTCATGCTATGTTCTGTACCTCTCTACTCTCCTCCATTCTAACAAGATGACCTAGCCACTGCAATCTTCTAGCTTTGACAAAATCGCTCATTCACCCTTCGCCGAACATTTCATCATCAATTTCAGTACTTGTTCTTCGCTCCCATCATATTTTTGTTAACTTTCCTCAAAAAATTCTTCTTAATATTCTTCATTCACATATTTCAATTTTTGTTGTAGTTTCTTTGTTTACACCAAAATCTCCCATATACATATGTTTCTCCACCTCTTCAATTTGCAGAATTTCTCTCCCTAATGCAATTTCCATATTTAGCTTTCTGCTTTTCTTTTGCTTATTCTTCAGCTCCTTGCATTTTATTGTATTAATATTTATTTGAAAACATCATCATACAAAAGTACAACATCATCAGCATAGGCTAGACACTGGTGACTCTTATTATTGTTCTCGCTCTATTGATATTGTTGTCTTTTATTATCTTTTTAAATTAAATAGCGTGGTGGATAGAGGATTCCCTTGTCTTACACCTTTCTGAACTCTAAAGTATTGGCTCTTCCTTCCATTAATCTTAACTGCGCTTGTAGTATCCTGAAGCGTCATGTAATAGTCTGATTAGATGAAATTTTGAACTCCTCTAGTGCCTTTATCAGTTTTGATCTACCTACATTCTCATAAGCACCCTTAAAATTTACAAAGAGAAGATGGGTCGGTATTTCGTATTCATATGCATTTTTTCTAAAACCTGCTTGATAGTCGCCCAATATGTTTTCTGTGTACACTTCTATTTTTCTTTTTGGTATGGTTGCCAGTACTTTGTATGTGACGTCCAGGAGTACTATAAATCAATAGTTATCACAACTTGACAAGTCTCCCTTCTTATGTATTGGGTATATTATAGACTTGCACTTCTCTTTAGGTATTATTTTCTCTTCTCAGATATGACATATTAGTATGCAGATTTTTCTCTCAGGTAGTCTTCACCATATTTTAAGTTTTCGCTACTACACGTTTTCTCCAGGGCTTTTATTGTTTTCCACCGGAGTTAAAACTTCCTCAACTTAGTAGTTACATTAGTATTGATTCTAGTTCATTGCCGTTTTCCTTTTCTACATTACCGTTTAGGTATTCTTCGAAATATTGTTTCCATCTCCCCAATTGTTGTTGTTCATTTTCTATCAGATTTGTCTTCTTTATCTTTAATGTATGTCGTTTTTTAAGTGTAACCTCTGCTTATTTCTTTAACATCTTTGTAAAAATATTTTATATTCTTCGTTTGGTATTTTTCTTCCATATTTTGAAGATGACTCTCTAAAAGCTCTTTTTTCTTCCTTCGGAAAATTTTCTTTACTAATTTCCTTTGTCCATTAGAGTTTACCTTGCAAAAAATACCATTTTTTGGACTTTTTACGTTGATAAAAGACACCAAAATGAAAGTAGACGATATTATTTATTTTCAGTTCCAGCTCCAGCATTTTCCTTTCTGTATTTCGAGATTTTAACGCTCGTCAGGAAGACATGTGGTAGCTCGAATTAAAATAAAATGCTGTTTATCGATATTACCATTATAGTTACTTAATGCCTTAACGCCTGTGTACGCTAATAACGTACTGTTTCAAGCAACAATAAGTGAGTAGACTTCTTTTCGTTGGCGAATTAAGTGAACTGTAAACCAAAACTTACTGGAAGCTATTGGATGATGTTAAGAATAACCTTTTTCCGACAATGCATTTACAGTTTACCTTGCTTTGGTTTACCTTGCCTTGTTTACAATCCTTTTGTACTTTTTACCTAACGAAAAGAAGTTAAAATAAAAGTAAAGTTTGCCTTTCTTTCTTCCTTCCTTCTTTTCGTGGTTTCCATTCTGTTTGTGGTTTCCCTGTGGTTACGAGATCAGTTATTACTGAAGATAAGAACAGTTTTGAGATTTTGGGATTTCACGTTCTCGAAGTTAGTTAATCCTAGGGAGTTTAGTCAACTTCAAAGATAAATCATCCATTGACGGTATCGATTTCAAACTAACACCTTTAGTCGAAAAAACTCAGCTAAAAGGAGACATTTTAACCAAATAACTCTTTAAATACAATGTGCAAAATAATTAAGAGGTCGTTTGCTATACTAATGAGTTTATTTTTTATACAATTATTTTAAATTATAAACAGTTATAATATTTTCCAAAAAAATATCTTATGTGACTTTTAATTTCTAACTTTCAGGTGCTTCACCATGAAACATATCCTCATATGGGTTCTATCTGTACACTGTTTGGCATCTTTAGCTCAAAATGTACCTGAAACAAGTGAACAAAAAGACTTTCTAAACCAAAACATTCACGGCACCGTTATTCAAACAGATGTCAATGCGTTAGGTGATGTCCAGGGTAAAAACTTCGAAAATTTTCCCAATAAATTTAACGTAGATGGCAGTCAATATCCTGAACCGTATAATATAGAGTACAAATATCACAATTATGAAAAAATGACTTCCTTTCTTAGGCAGACGACGGCTAGATATCCAGAGCTGACTGCTCTTTATTCTATTGGGAAATCTGTCCAAGGTACGATAAAAATGTTTCAATTAATATATTAGTTTTATTGATATATTTACATTATAAGTCTAAAGTCTAGAAGAACAGATAAATAAAAAATCTTGAAAGAAATTCAAAGTACTCAGGCATACTCAGTTTACACCAACTAAATGATCAAAATCTCCTATGCCAATGCGTCAAAAAACTGATCAGTTTTTACAGCAATTATTTGAGCTAATATAGATGTCGAAATTGGACTATTCATTCTACTAACGCTCACGTAAGATGAGGATTTTTTTTATTATGGCAGAAAGGTTTTCTGACATTAACGCAAATGAGATCGAAAACGAAACGAGAGAACGAAAGTTTAGCACCAACAATCATCTAACGATAAAACAACTCATTGAACATCCATAGAACGCAACAGTCTTATGGAATTAGTGTTTATAGATTTCCACAAAGCGTTTGTGTAATTGAACCATAAAGGGAAATTCAAACCTATAGTCGTTATTCCAGATTGGTATACAGTTACGCAAAAACAGTAACAAAATAAAAATGAAAAGAAGTGTCAGAAAAGATAACAACGATCACTAAATTGAAATCATAAAGGGATAAGTGTCGGCGGGAAAAGATTGCACCACCTGACTTATGCCGATGACATAGTTTTGGTAGGATTAAGGCTAAATCAATACATGTTAGAAGAACTGGAAAGAGTATGCAGTGAAATCGATTTAAAAATAAATATCCCTAAAAAATACATCCAAGTGCTCAGTACATACAACCTCGTGCTGAGTAACCATTTAAAAATTTGGAAAGACGAAATAGAACTTGTTTGGAAACACATATACCTTATACACTAAATTAAAATAGGAAAGGACAACAGGTGAGATACGAAGAAGAATAGCCCATGAATGTGCAGCATACGGAACCCTTAAAACGTTTTTAAAGATGGCAACATACGAATTAATCTGAAGCGGAGAGTCTTGGAACAGTGTGTTCTGCCACTAATGACCTACGGTGCGGACAAACTTCCTTAATAAATAACAATGCTTTAAATCTAAGAATAGTACAAAAGGATGAAGTATTCAATGATAGGAGTAACAATAAAAGACAAGATCAACGAAGATCTACGAAACAGAACCAAGGTTACAGGTGTTGTAGAGAGAGCTTGCAGATTGAAATGGAGACGAGCAAGTATAAAGAATGCAATTTAACCAAATATAGACCAATAACACATAAACAAATCAGAGGAAGACCACCTACACATCGGCAAAATGATCTGACAAAATATTGGATCCATTTTGCACACGACCGTGCATTCTGTATACAAACAGGGGAGACCTTTATCCTCCAGTGGACTTAAAATAATCTGATGAAAAATTAAAATTAATATATTAGATCTAGTTTATAAAATACGTTTTCAATCGCAATAAACATGGTTTCTATAGCCATTGATAGTCGGCATATTACAATTCTAAACGTTTCCATTGACAGCAAGCTTAAGGTATTTTATTTTTAATATTTTTTTAGTGCATTTTGTATAACAGATATAGAAAGTCAATATAACTTTTAGGTAGAGACCTATGGGTGATGGTGGTATCAGCATCGCCATACGAACATATGATCGGTAAGCCTGACGTCAAATATATCGCTAATATGCACGGAAATGAAGCTGTTAGTAGGGAACTGATGCTACAATTGATCCACGTAAGTATAAGAATCCTTTATTGTATATAGAAATATTTAAAATCACTTTGATCATTCTCTATACAGGCCCCATCTAGCAGTGACGATTACGTGTTTCTGTAACTGAATAAAAACGATCCTAGTGTAAAGTCGTTGTTGTGTTGTAGAAAAATAGATCAAAATGTATCTATTTCCAAAAACATAATCAAAAGTTAATATTTTCCCTTTTTTTAGTATCTAGTAACAAATTATTCGTCAGATTCCTATATACGTTGGTTACTAGATAATACCAGGATTCATATAATGCCGTCGATGAATCCTGATGGATTTGAGGTTTCAAAAGAAGGCAATTGCGATGGAAGTCAAGGAAGGTACGTATTGTTTGTTTATATTTAAATTCTATTAGTTAGGCTTTCCTATATTTCGTTGGGTTTTCCACCGACAAAAACCGTAAGCCATGAATAACTGATGACACTTGGACTGTGATTCGACACTGCAAAGAACATAGAACTAGATTTGGAGCAAACGAAGAATACAGAACGTTATCTAAAGAAATTAGAAAGCAATGCCGCAAAGACAAAGCAGATTACATCTCTCAAATATGCAGGGAAACAGGATACTGAAGAAATATTGGAAACGAGACGAAACTATTGTAGCGATTTATATAGAAATAACGAGACTCCCCAAAAATTAGTGGCTCTCTGACTACCCTAGAAAACCTACTGCGTTGTTCTCTGAGGTAAAAGATGCATTAACACAATACCAAGAGAAATGCTACAGCCACTAAAAATGATTACGTATCATCCATTTTATCCGTGTTTCCACTCCTGTATATTCTACTACACAAAAAATGGGCTTCTAGAATTACTAGATATGAAAATTATCCTAAATTGCTACTGCTGCTAAACACATGCTACTGAAATCTTTTTGCATATTATCAAAAACAGATTAAAAAATTACCTACATTATCAAATACAAATACCACTGGATCAGGCGGGGTTTGAAAAAGTAAAAGGTACACGTGAGCAAATCTGAGACAACTTATTGAAAAGTGGTCAGAATTTCAAGAATCTCTAATAATATGCTTTATTAAATACCAGAAGGCATTGAAACGTGTAAGTTAGATAAATCTTTGATCATTTTAATAGCGATAGGTGCAGCAGTTTACCTAGTGACACGTTAAAAATCTGTTCCGGTCCAATATGGCCACAGTAAGACCAGATCAGAAGTTATTGAGCCAATTCAGAGTAAAAGGATTAGACAAGGATGCGTTTTCTTACCTGGCTTATTTAATAATGATGGTGAACATGTTATGAGGATCGATTAGAATGATGGGTCGATGAAGTAACGGTAGTTAGTAGAAAAATATCCAATTTAAGATTGGATGCTAGATCTGCTACGATAATTCAAATTAAAAGCATAAAAGTTGGTCTTAAAATTAAGAAATAGTGGGCCACTCGTTCTACTAAACTCTTAGAGCAGCTGAACATATAGACAAATGGAGACAATTTGTTAGGAGTATTGGGGAAATTATGATCCTCAGTAATAGGGAAACGACAGGAGAGAGAGCGAGAGATGAGAGTATAATTAGTGTTAATTTCGTAACAAATACAGTGTGTTTGTAACATATTTTGTCCAAAATTGTGATAGTGCTACTGCTAGTACAAAGATATCATCTCCATCGTAATTTTTTTTTTTTTGGTTAATATTTTCGGAAGGACTTATTTTTCAATAATTATAATAACTCGTCGACTTTATCTAATGTAGCTTACACTTCTTGTTTCATTTTTAATTTATATATTATTTGCATATAACTTTTTCCCTTCCCGTTTGTTGATATGTCATTTTTTCCATGGGATTCCCTCATATATTTCTTGAATATATAGGAGAATCGTATTCTAACACGTTTAAGTTGCCTGAGGTATTAATTCTACTCTATCTCGCTCTCTCTCTCTCTCTCTCTCTCTCTCTCTCTCTCTCTCTCTCTCTTTCTCATTATCTCAAGGTATCTTTAAAAGTGTATATTGCTGACTGGGGGGTCAGGCGATAGGGCTATTCTACTAGTGTGTTCGTATATTCTTATTGTTACCTTGTGCTTATTTCAAAATAATTATTTCTAGATACAACGCAAGAGGTTTCGATTTAAACCGTAATTTCCCAGACTATTTTAAGCAAAATAATAAAAGAACGCAGCCGGAAACTGAAGCCGTCAAGGAATGGATCTCAAAAATTCAGTTCGTTCTCAGCGGAAGTTTGCATGGAGGAGCTCTAGTGGCAAGTTATCCGTTTGACAGTACTCCAAATTCTCGTAAGTAGCTTACGTTTATAGTTCACCAACTTCCAAAGGCGATAAATATTTTACCGATAATAAACTTAATTGTTTTAAGTTTTGATTCAAGCAATAAATTATTTTAAAAAATAAAAAAAATTGTAATAAGATCCTAAGAAGGTTGCCTTTTTACATCAAGCATCTTGGGAGCAAGCAATTTAATTTAAACTAGTCTGCAGGATTTGTACACCTCTTAAAATGACACTCGGATGTATCAATTCATTATGTCGAGAAGGACTAATTTATGTCAAAAGGAATCATTTCACTATGCCCCAAAGCTCCACACCGACCCTTTCCCTACAATAGCACTCGCTCTCTCGAGTGATATGCGATAGGGGCTCTCTATCTGCAAAGTGCGTATCATGTGGAAGTACTGGGTATAAGAACTTTAAATCGATATCTTTACAATTCTGTTACAGTTCATTGGGAGGAGGATTAATTTGTGTCAAAAGCAATCATTTCACTGCACGCCAAAGCTCCATTCCATCCCTGTTCCTTCTACAGCACTCGCTTTCTTGGGTGAGATGCGATAGGGGCTCTCGATCTGCAAAATGCTTGTCATATGGAAGTACTATAGTTTTTTTTTTAGAACGAGGAGAGTAATTAGCATAATTTTAACTGGTACCTCCGACCACTCCATGGGCGTGCTCAAGATTAATTGAAAAATTACTTTGAATAATTGTAAAAATAAATGAATTATTTCAGTGTTATAAAGTGTTATGTGTATGTAAACAAAAGTGACCTCTTTTATCACACACTATATTAGAACTGACTGGCCTACATTAAAAAGGTTTTAAAAAATTCACATTTTTTTTAATTTTTAAAAATTACAAAAGAGAAAAAGAGTTTTTAAAACCGTCTAAGGTATGTTAAATAGATGAATAAAAATATTAATATAAAACTTACAGCTACTTGTTACAAATCCAAATCAGATTCAGAAGATGAACTTTCAGAACCAAGATTTATAATAACTGGCTCGATCATTTTATCAGTAATATTGTCCAGCTTCCACATTTTTTCCTCTTCTTTAATAGTGTGATTTACTGCCTTTTCCAGTTTTCAGGTTTTACATTATTTACGGCCTCCAAAAACAACTGTTTAACATCATGAATTTTAAAAGTGGTATTTTTTCTTGAAACTTCACTCTTTATCTGTGCCCATACCAGTTCAATCGGGTTTAATTCACAATGATATGGTGGGGATCTAAGTACTGTCATTCCACGATTTTTGGCAATTTCATCAATTTCGTATTTTTTAAATTTTTCTTTATGAAGGGCACACAACGAATAAAGTTCCTTTCTTATAGATCCGGGATGGTACGTAATATTTTTTGAACTCAGCCAATTCTGCAAGTCTTTTTTTAACCACTTGGTTGTGGGCAGTCCTTCTATAAGTCTGGAGTGATAACTTGCATTATCCATTACTATTACACAGTTCTTAGGAAGAAGATCTATCATTTGTTCGAACCATTCTTGAAAGACATCAGCGTTCATGTCTTCATGGTAGTCACCGGTACGAGTTGATTCAAAAGTTAATAAACCACCTTCAACAAAACCGTCTGAACTGCCAATGTGTACTATTATCAGCCTGCGTCCTTTCCTGATGGTGGGTTTTAAACCAGTAGATAAGTTATTTACAAAAGCGTGCCTTTGACTTGTAACAGTTTCATCCTGCAAAATTTATTTGGTGTATGACCCTCGTTGATCCATGTTTCATCAAGATAAAATATTTTTCTTTTTTGGTTTCTCATTTCCTTTATGGTTCTTAGAAAATGTCTTCTCCATATGACAATATCGCTTCTTTCTAATAAAATAGACTTTCTGGGATTCTTTTTCCAGCGGAAGCCTATTTCTTTTAAAAGTTTCCATAACGTACTTCGACTCATTTCTGGGTAATCCTTATCATCTCGAACTGAGACAAGAACTTTATCCAATGTTGGAAATTCTTGTCTAAAGAAGAATTCATGCACTTTCCGTCGAAGTCCTTCTTTAAAATGATATTCTATTTGAAATTTTGGTTTCCCTGGAGCATTACGTGGCATTTGAAAACTACCACATTTCTCTTCTTTAATAACTCTGTAAATCGTAGATTTCCCAACACCAAGTGTACTGCTAACTAACTCAACGGTCTCATCAACACTTTCACATAAACGTTTGTCTGTAAATGATTTAAAACAATTAAATATTAATGTTTTTTCATTAACTGTTAAAGGACCAATTTTTCGGCGTTTACACGGCACTTCCAAATTTTCCATAACACTAGTATACACAATAAACTGCACCTTGCAACTGAAGTACCTACTTTTAGTGAACTGTTAAGAATTTTGAATACGCCACTTGGACCTTCCTACAAAATGGAAAAACCCACTATCACATTTTCTGTGGAATAAGTTTAGAAGGTAATTATCTAGTCAATTACTGTCGTAGATTCCTGGAATTAAAGAATTAAATGTTTGATTGTTGAAACCCTTACTTCGTGGAATGCACTCATTTCAGATAAAATAAAACGTTTTATTTTATCTAAAGAATTAAACTTTATTTTGCAAATAGGTAGGTACTTATTAAACTTTTATTGGTTATATATAACCAATAAAATAAACATCTTACATTTCTTGCAAATTCATTAGTACCTGTTAACCTCCATCACTCCGACACTGGCAACCTTATTTAGGGATTAGTAACCCTCACAACTATTGTATTCTATTCTGCTCCAACCTTTATACCTGGTGGTCATACTCAATTTAAAATTGTTTTCCTATATACTTCTGTAAACTTGTTGACAAATATCTGTTTTTCATTGAGTCACCCGTATCAACAGTTTAGGGTATTTGCATACATAATTTATTGTTTTATTACTCTCTCATACATAAAAATACACTATAGGTACAAGAACTTCAAAACGATATTGTATACCGATTAAAACAGGTTAGCATAAGGCGCTCTTTTCCTGCTGTGCTGGTGACTTATCATCGAATCTGAAATTGCATCTTAGGGAATGGTCTGTAAAAAAAATATTTAAATAAAAAACAATAATAACCGTAAAGTTTATGAAAATCATAAGTTTATGGAAGTCTATACAAATGTCATTCATAAATACTATTAGTCTAGTCACTATTGAAATAGCTGAAGCCAGCGTGAGCTAAGCCAATTAGAGGAACCGATTACTTTAGTAATGATACTTTGCTTTTCTCACTCTTTTTTCTCACAAGAAAATCTCTTTTCTCACTCGAAGTCAGGTCATCCATTTGATTTTAGATTTATATCAATTTACGCCGTAATTAATCAAAATTCAGAGTTGGCACAATGATACGAAATGCTTATAATTTCGAGACAAATCTATTCATGTAAATTTTATTGCATTTTAGTGACATTACATTTTCCATAAGATGTGTAGGCCCTTATATCGTATAATATATCGTATTCTATCGTATCATATGATATCTACTAAATGCACTAGAAATATATTAAAAGAGTAGGAAATATATATCAAGAAATTGTTTGAAGGTAACAGAATTCTACGATAAACTAGATTTGGAGTAGGCTATGCATTTCTATAATATAGTCTAGCTAATAAAATCTTAAAAAACCAATGTAATAAAAAATAATGTAAAATATTTATCGCTTGTAATATACAAAGTTTAAAAATCCTGTTCTCCGCAATATTTTTAAAAAGTGATTGTTATTGAGTATTTTTTGCTGCTGTAAGGAATATGTAGATCTTCAGCTCTATGTTCTTGTAAGTAACCACGTAAATAAAGTAAGGATATAGGATCAAATAAATTCAATTGTTTACTTTAAGCATACTATTTTACCTCTATAATTAGACAGAAAAAAAACCATAAGATAACCTACTGAGAAAAAACGAGTATAATGAAGAAAATAAGAAATTAAATAATACAATGTGTTCCTATATCCTATTTAGTATCATTTATATAATTGTTTATATATATTATATATATATATATTATATATATATAATATATATAATATATGTATAATAGGGACACTGACACTGATTTTTAATAGGGACTTTTCCAGGTCTAACAGTTTTAGCAGCCGTATTGTTGAAGCTACATAAATATATGTGAAATTGGCTGTCATTTATTTATTTTGTTGACAAATTACCAAGGATGTATGTAGCATACAATAACTCGAGAATTTAATTTAAATGATAAAATCATTGTGTTATGTACTAATAATATTATTTTTCATTTTCATATTTTCTTTATTAATGGCAACATTTTCAAGTTTTAATTCCATAATCTCTTTAAATTACTTTTTTTATAATTAAAATTTTTTTCTTCATTTTAAGTTATTTAACTTCTTTGATAATTCAAGACAACACCTCCAAGATTCTTCAATTTTATCGGATGACGGTTTCTTTCTTTCCTTTTATCTGAAATATAGATCATTACTAAACATATTGTTTAATTTCTCTAGTTTCTTTTATTGTGAAAGTTTTGTATATAATTATTCAGTGTTGGTGTAATTCATAAAATCATTTGAACTATTATTACTTATTAATTACTTTCAGAAAATGTTTTATTTTTATTAACTATTAGGAACATGCAATTTTTCGATATTTTGACTTAAAGTTTTTAACCGTGTTTTAAACCAAACTTACAGTATTCCAGAGCTTTTCAACGCCATCTCTAACGCCAGATGACGATGTGTTCAAGCATCTAGCAATTAGCTATGCTACCAATCATGGTAAAATGAGCCGTGGAGTTTCATGTAAAACTTCACGTACAGCGTTTAGAAGGGTAAGTGCAATTTTACTGAAGTATAGATAAGGGAAGGTATTCTAAAATGACATACTTTTTATTTGGAACATATTTTGCATTTACCATTAGAAGTATTGAACTGAAAAAAATATAGTATATTCCTTTAAATACGTTTTATTCATATACTTAAACAAAAAGATCTCATCTGCATAAAAACTTGTGAAAAAGTACTGTTAAAAAACCTTACACTATATCAGTCATGGAGGGTCTAAAATGACATGTATATGCTCTCAATTAAAGGTAAAAATGGTAACAACATAAAAATATCTTCGTCTTCTTCTTAAGGTGCCTTCTCCATTCCTGAAGGTTGGCTATAACTACAGCAAATGGCTCTCTATCTTGAGCTGTTCTTAGTATCTAATGTATGCCCATGCCTGTCCAGTCTCTTACATTCTTCAACCAGGAGCATTTTCTTCTTCCTGGACCTCTTCTTCCTTCTACTTTAACTTCCATTATAAGTGTATAGACAGGTAAATTAACAAAACAAGAAATCAGTCTTGGTAAAGCTCATAAATGAACTTTTTTACTTTTGCAGACACCCTGGCATATTCACAATATATTCAATTATTGAATTTTATGCAACTAATCCAACACTACCTGGACCGAGAATTTCTTAATAAATCATTGCTCAACCTGAACATCATCATCATCATCTTCGGCTGCAAACAGATTTCTTCATTTTCTGTTTGTGCAGTGTAACTTGTCTTACTTAAAATGTTTCTTTTAAATCGATGAACATTCTCATGTCTTTTCTTTTCTTCCTTCTGCTTGAGTTCTTTCAAATTAGCAGCAGTTGTTAAAACTCAGCAGATTATTTATCTAGACGTTCTTGTTCTAGTTTAATTTGCTACAGGCACTGGAGAAATTTCGTGCAGCGTAATTCTTTTTTTGAAGGTATATTTTCTTTCGTATTGTTATCTTTCTGATCACTCTTATTTTCTTTACTGTGAATATTATCTTGCTTTTGTTGTGCCATTTTTTCCATGACACTACTTTCTTCTTTTTTATGAACGATTTTTCTGGTAGATAAGACGTATTTTCTTCTGTACTGCTTGTTTCGAATATTCTATTTGTAGTCTCAGCTGGCTCAAAAATATTCATTTTAAAAATCCTTGAATTTGTCCGTTTTCAAAAAGCCACTTGTAGCATTTTTCATTGTTGCTGCTTTTCCGTAAGCAGAATTTAAAAGTTCGTCAATGCTTTTAGTGATTTTTGGCTAGTGTGTCCATCCAGAAGCAATAAAACATTTAATTCGAGAGATGTCTTAACCAAATTCTGGAAATGCTCTAACCACAAACCGAAGTTATCAGCTGTCATCCATCCAGTTTCGCGAAATAATCTCAAGGAACCAAGAGGTAACGCATCTAGGAGTTCGTTTCTCTTTTCTATTTTTCCTATGGAAAATCAAAGCTAGTGATACGAAATTACCTATATTATTCATGCAACAGACACATGTTAGCTGCTGACCTCTTTGTCAACGATCCAACTTGCTTTCTTCCAGTCTTTGCAAAAATTTTTGGAAGCCTCTGTACTGTAGACAAACCACTTACGTCCATATTATAAATGCGATGAACTTCAATTTTCTGTTTTCCATGGTCATTTTAAAAGTATTAAAAAATTTTATGTTTAAGGCTTATTAAATGCCATAACTCTAACTGCAGACACAGCTTCAGCTTGCCTCAAGAATATTTCAGAATGTCTCATCCGAAATTCTCTCAGCAGCTCTTTAAATCTATTTGAAATGTCTGAACTGGATAGAAAAAAAATTGAGACTATCTTATAAATATAAATACTTAATTGGCTGCCGTTTAGTGCTTCTCCGCCTTCTTCAGATCTGTATTACAATTTCCAGAATTACCCAAACCAGAAATAGCTTTATAAAAATGAGAGGGATTCTGTGAGATACACACATTGATATAAATATTACATATGGCCCCCTTTGTTATACTGAATTGAGACATGAAGCTTAAAACCAATAAGTTTAAATAAATTAAAACCCTTTGAGATATGGTTGTATGGCTGCTGCGAAGAGTTATCTGTGACAAGAACTTCTCTTAACATTCAAATGAAGAATACAGCATACCTAGACCATCTACTCTGAAAGCCAAAGTACTGCCAAAGAAAATAAGGAATATGTAAAACAAGGTATTGTGATTATATAACTAATACAGACTATGAACAGGATTAGGCATTTAAAAATTAATCAGAGCATCTGAAGACAAAGACAAAGTTTGCTATTTTAATCGCTAAGATCTATTAATGGAGATGAATCACGCAGAGGAAGAGCTCATAAAATTATTTATAGAACAAAAAAACTGTATATTACTGGATAGCTTTCTACATGTGTTTGATTTTAGTTGTCAAATAATCTACTCATTGTATCTTGTAGAAATTGTAAAATTGGGATATTTCAAAATAAATCTGACACAAAATTAATTTACAAAGCTCATTTACTGCAATTATATATAATTTTATATTAAAAATTTTTATTTTTTAGGGAATTACGAATGGAGCAGAATGGTATCCATTAACTGGAGGTATGCAAGACTACAATTACGTGTGGTATGGATGTATGGAAGTGACCCTAGAAGTTTCGTGTTGTAAATATCCCCCCGCCCATGAATTACCCAAATACTGGGAAGATAATAAACAGGTAGATTTATTGAATACTTTTTAACTCAATTTATTTTATAAATTCTCACGACGGCATACCGGCATAAAAAAATTAAACTTTTTAAGCACTTTTCCATAATAGTCCAAGCACAACTTAGTATTTAGTTCGTTTATTGAAATCACATATAAAGATTTAATGTTTAATAGATCTTCTACATTCAAAATTTTTATATTACAGGCACTGATAAAGTTTTTGGCAGAAGCACATCGCGGTGTTCATGGCTTCGTCATGGATGAAAGTGGAAACCCGTTAGGAAAGGCTTCCTTGAAGATTAAATCTAGAGACGTTGGTTTCCAAACCACGAAATATGGAGAGTTTTGGAGGATATTACTGCCAGGAGTATACAAAATGGAGGTAAGTTGTTTAGTTGCGAAAGATAACCGTACTATAAGCCTCATGAGTCATCTCCTAAAATTGTTTCCAAAGATAATTCATAAGAAAATATACAAGCTGTGTGAAAGTCAAATTTCCCCCAACCAATTCGAGTTCATAAATGTTGTTGGTACTAGATGTTGGTACTGGTGCTTTGTTTTCAGTACAAGTCTTATTACAGAGATGCAGTGACGTCTACTGTGACATATACGCATGTCTGGTTGATTGCGAGAAAGCGTTTGATCGAGTACAGCAGGCCAAGAAGATGCAAATATTAAAAGAAGCAGGAATTAACAACCAAGATCTGAAAATAATTAGAAATCTTTACTGCAATCAGACAGCAAATCTCAGAGTTAAAGATGAACGACTATGTGAAAATCATACGTGGAGTGAGGCAAGGCTGTAGTTTGTCTCCTCTAATCTTCAATCTGTACTCTAAAGAATATTTATCGAAGCTTTGCACGAAACTGAAAAGGGTATTCTACTAAATGGTTAGCGGCTAAACAACATCAGATATGCAGATAACACCATAGTATTTGTGGAAAACTACAAGTGGTTATGAACAAAATCACGTATTACAGTCAACAATATGGACTCCATATAAACGTTAAGAAGACAGAGCTTATGATAATTAGCAAGAAAAGGATAACAGAAGGTCAACTCTACATCAACCAATCCCCTGTAGAAAGAGTGACGCACTACATCCACCTTCAATCGGATGGGGGCCTCCTTTAAGAGTTACAACCTCTCTCTTGATACAAAAGTAAGAATGCTGCGATGCTACCTCTTCTCTGTCCTTTTTTATGTTGTTGAATCGTGGACCTTGAACAAAGATATATGCAGAAAACTGGAAGCATTTGAGATGTGGCTATATCGAAGAATACTTACGATTCCGTTAACTGACCGAGTCACAAATGAGGCGGTCCTCCGAAGAATGAATAAGAACCGAGAGGTACTGACCACCATCAAATCTCAAAAGTTACAATTCTTCGGACATATTATGCGAAATGAATCCAGATATGCTCTCCTTCACGCCATTTTGCAAGGAAAAATATTTGGAAAACAAAGTCCAGGAAGAAGATCATCTTGATTAAAGAACCTCAGAATATGGTTCAATACATCTGTACAGCTTTTCTCCTCTGCTGCAGATAATATAAAGATTGCCATGATGATAGCCAACATTCGTAATGGATAGGCACATCAAGAAGAAGATTTTCTATACAAATAAAATAATTTAAACCATAAAAATGTTCTTATTGTTACAGGTTTACGCCGATGGATACATTCCCAAGGAAGTAGAATTTTTGGTAGTTGAACAACATCCAACATTATTAAACGTAACTTTACATGGTGCTAAGGTAAATTATTTCACATGATTTTGGTGGAGGTGTACATATTTTTTGTATATATTTCAGCCATGGCAATATTTTGCCCCTCCTGTGACCTCTCCTCCAAAAACAATTATATCTAACGACAACGCTAACATTCCAAAGCAACCCAGGGACACTATATCGTTTCCTGCAGATTAATTGTAAGATGTAAGTGATTAGACATTAACCAATAACCACAATTTACATAATGTAGGTTGCAAGTGGTATAATTTAGAAAACTAGTTGCATTTATTGTAGCATGGGTTTCCTTAATTGTACCCGTAGTAACCTATGTAGAGAGATCAGTGTATAGTAAAATAAATTTTAGTATATAATTTTTTTAAATAAAATTATCAATATTTATAATGAGACAAGTGCAGAGAGATCACTAGAATAAATCTGAGCGGCATATTTATATTTCGTGGACCGTAAGAAGCCATTTGTCAGCGTCAAATTAAAGGGCGTTATTCACTTATTGGGCGCAGTAGAGATGCATCTAGGACTAATCAAAACGGTCGACAAAATATACCAGAACAACACAATAACAGTAAAAGTAGAAGAAACTAACTAAGTTGAAGCTGATAATGGGATAAGATAGGGTTATCATATTCTTACTATCGTATTCTTACTTTTTTATTATTTCATCAATGGTCAGGTTAAACCTACAGACTTTTACGTACCTAATGTATTTTGTCTGCCACTTGACATTATAATATCTTTTATAAGAAAAAAACTCATAGCAAAATTGATTTCGGTCATTGTCCATCATTTTAAGTATAAATAAGTTACACCTCCATAAAGCATGTTCGTTTGTTATTGGTGTACCAGTTTATCAAATAATATTTCAGCTTTACTTACACACCTTCAAAAAACAATACATTCAACGCTGTTCGATAGTGGTCTGACTAGTAACAAACAGTCATACCCAAAACTATTGATTTACCAATAAAATGTAAGAACTTTAACTAGTTTGACTGACAAGGTGAATGAAAAACCTGTCTCAAATTTATTTGCCGTTTTGGGTGTTGTCGATTTATGAAACTGGTTTTGATGGGGACGAATCAATTCGCAGTTACAGTCGTCCCCTAAATTATCGATTTACCAATAAAAATATAAGAACTTAACTAGTTTTACTGATAAGAGTCAGTGAAAAACCTGTCCCAAATTTGTTTGACTAATAGCAAGTTTTCGATTTGGACGAATCACACTGGCATAGTTAATTATTTTGGAACAATTTTATTTTTATTAAGGAATTCAGGTTGAGTTTATCAAAAGTACAAGCTGATTATAGCTGCAAATGTCAAACATGAAACAAAAAATTTCGGTAAAGCAGTATTGGCATGTTTTTATAATGTAGATGCTGTATACTTCAAATATAAAAAGATAAAGCTTTAGAAAAGTACAGTTTGTTTATATTGTGTTATGAATTCTGCAATTTTTGATTTATATAAAATAACAGTGAGTAAATATTTGTTTCTTTGGAGATTAATTGCAGTTAATTATTAGAAATTTTTTTAGCAATTACCCTTTGATATGTTAGGGGATAGATTTTGCAATCGTCAAATTAGCAGTTGCAAGATTACAAAAGATGTTTGGCAATTAATCTCGAAAAAGACAAATATCTACTTGTTATTGCTTCATGTAAATTAAAAATTGCAGAATTTATAAAATAGTATAATTAAAATGTACTTTTTAAAAGCTGTAAGTATCTCTTTATATTTGAAGCATACAAGATATGCATTATAAAAACATGCTAAAGGTCGATTCAGACACATCAGTCACGTTTCGTCACAGGCCTGGCGCCGAACCAACAATCCGTCATACAAAATATTCTTTAATAGAAATATGGCGTCGGCATTCACATTCATCAGGCGACGAACAGTTTCCCAGCTGTCAGATAGTTAATAGTGCTGTGACCAAACAGGACTGGTTCGGAGCCGAGACTGTGACGGGACTGATGTATCTGAATCGACCTTAACACATCATCATCATCATTGGCTTTTACAACTCTTCGTGAGTTTTTGCCGCGTTTACTATTGCCTTCCATTGATTTCGATCCTGTGCTATTATTTCCCATGGCCTTACTTCCATCTTCTCCAGGTCTTCCCTGACTGCTTCTTTCCACCTTTTTCTAGGCCTTCCTGTCGATCTTTTACCATCTGGTCTTTCCCAAAACACATTGCTAATCAGTCTGTCGTCATCATTCCGTACCACGTGGCCTGCCCATCTTAATCTATTGGCTTTTATGTATCTTACGATGTTTCCTTTCCCGAAGAGAGCCTCTATTTCATTGTTTTATCTGCTCCCCATACTAATAGCTTATTGATTTCTTTCTTTCTCAATGTCCATGTTTCACTTCCATATGTCATTGCTGGTCGTATTATGGTTTTGTACATTTGGATTTTGGCACGCCTTGAGAAAAGCTTTGACCTCATTAGATGTTGAATGGCAAAGAATGATTTATTCCCCGCCAGTATTCGTATTTCAACCTCCGTTCTCCTGTGTTTTCACTGGTAATTGTTGCTCCTAGGTATTTGAATTCTTTGACCACCTCAAAATTATGATCGTTTATGGTAATGTTTTGTCTTATTCGCTGTCGTTCCTTTTTTGATACGACCATGTATTTAGTTTTTTCTTCGTTTATTTTCAGGCCTACGCTTAGTGTTGCTTTTTCAAAGTTCGATACTATATCCTTAACTTCCAGTGTTGTCTGTGCTACTGCATCTACATCATCTGCAAATGCGAGAATAATCTTTGCTCCTCTGGCAGTTATGTCTGGTTTGACTCTGGTATAGATTTTTTGCATTGCGTATTCCAATGCTAGGTTAAATAGTAATGGGGACAGCAGGTCTCCCTGTCTGAGCCCGGTGCTTATGCCGAAAGCCTTTGAAGTTTTGCCTCCTTTTCTAATTTGTGCAAAGGAATTGTTGACACACATTCTCGCAATCATGGTCAGCTTCTTTGGTACGCCTAACTCCATCATTGCACTCCACAGTTATAAGCGATCTATGGAATCATATGCTTGTTTGAAATCTATGAAGATCTGGTGTACTCCTTTATTATATTCCCAATACTTTTCTAGCATTTGTCTGATAGTAAATATTTGGTCGATTGTTGATCTTCCAGGCCTAAAGCCGCATTGGTAATCGCCAATAATTTCCTCTGTATATGGCAGTAATCGTTTTAGTACAACTGAAGCTAATATCTTATATGTAGTACCGATTAGTGAGATTCCCCTGTAGTTGCCACATGTATCCTTTCTGCCTTTTTTATGTATTGGCACGATAATACAGCCACTCCATTCTTTTGGCAATATTTCTTGTTCCTAGGCTTCTTTCATTAATTGGTGTATTTTAGTTCTAAGTTCATGCCCTCCTTTTTTAATCAGTTCTGCATCAATATTGTCTAGTCCCGGGGATTTGTCATTTTTTAGGGTTTCTATCGCCGTGATAATTTCTTCCAGGCTTGGCGGGGGTACTTCTATCTCGGCCGTTTGGTACTCACAATTTGCTTTATGGCCAAACACGGCCAAACTGAAATATTTTTGACATTTCCGGCTATATTCAGCTTGTACTTTCGGTAAACTCAACCGGAATTCAACATCTTTCGCTAAAGTTGTGCAAGATCTGTTGATGATTTTCACAAATATCGTAAAAGTAACAAATTTATTGATACAATTTTGGGTGATTTTTCTAAAATGTGTGTTTACGTAGATTTTCTCTTAGTTTAATAGTTTAAGCATGCGACACCTCCCTCAACACCTTATAATAAATCATTTTTTACGTTATTTCTCTTTTCTAAAAATTTGCCTCTTTGTAGGCTAAAATAACACTGTAAGTGAATTCAAAAGTTATTATTGCACTTCAGCACCATTATTTTATCATCAATTGCTTTAACCAATATACTTTGATTATTTTTAGAGGAAAGAAGGCCATTATCAACCATCCCCTCCGTTACATAGGCCAGTGTTTCAACCTCAAGCAGAAGAATCTGGTATTCTATCCTCAATTTCCCACGGATTCAATAATTTAGTAAATTATTTCGGATAGTTTATAATCGTACTGCAAGAAAATATATCATAGAAAGGTTATTAGAAATAGGTGGTGTACAAAATCATCTATGTTTTAGATATCCTTAAATTTAGTAGGTTAAGTTAATTTATTTATTGTTTTTATTTATATGCACTGTTTTAACAGTTAATACACGTTGTTACATGTGATATTTTTATTTAATACCTTCCTTATCCACAAATTTGAATGTTTTCTGTAGGTATTTTGAACAAGTATAAATAAAATTTCTTCCAAAGTGAGTAATACTGGTTGCATAAACTGGAGGTGAGTAGAAAATTTCAATCACAAACTTGAACTTAATTGAAATTGAAGACAACATTAATACTGCCGCCCTAAAGGTGGTAACTACTTTTTTATCGAAAATGAGATTTTTTTATTTTTAAATAGATTAGAGTCTTTTAAATCTATTTATTCTGCATGTTATAAACATTATATATTTTTATTATATATTTTAAATTAAACTACAATGTTTTAGCTATCATGAATATAATAAATAGTTGTTTATTTCATAGCAATGTCGAGTAGATCTCAAAAATTAACAACGGGCTATTATTGCTCAGTTAATCCTGGTAATATTCCAATAGTGGAAACCCTGTCAAAATGATATTTTAAAAAGAAAATATAATTTAAGTCATCGATAGATTCATTATGACCAGAACTGAGGAGGTATTATACATTCTTATGGTTTTAATATTGTTTGTGAACAAAATATCAAAACTAAAGAAATGCTAAAATGAAAATAATCTAGAACAAGCTAAGAACACATGTTCAGAACTTAACACGAGTTAAAAAATCAACCTTCGAAGTGGTGCCGAACTAACACTGATTCTTCTAGAAGGAAAACGGGTGGGAACTTTACTGTTTGGAATTGAAGTTGATAATGCCTGTGCTTCTAAGATGGCCCGTATCATTCCACGCATTTGCTTGTTTTCTAATTCGAGTTGTTTCTTTTCTTGCATTATTTCAGCACAGTCTACTTCGGCTCTATTATAACCAGTCCAGAAATTTTCCATCGGCTCCAATTGTTTGAGACATTGATCTATAAATCCTGAATATGAGGGCTCTGTTTCTGGTGGTGAAGTCTGTGGATATGTGTCCAGTTCATTGGGTTTATCCTGGACTGTTATATGTTGAAGAGTGGTTATATGTGATTCTGGTGACTCTTTTTCATGTTCTTTGGTCTCTTTTTTGTTGAGATCTATAAACAAACATAAATAACATTGAAAAAAGTATCAAAAAAGAGTAGATATAAGGTTAATACAAAAAACAACCGTCACATAACGGCCACGCTCCTGCGCAGTACAAAAACATTCCAACAAATAGATGATCATTCATGACATCTTCCTTTCAGGTGTTTCAACAAAAATTGTGATGATCCAGTGACGATTTCGTGACGATTATTTCAGTATTGGAGCAAATGCATGTACTCGTTGAGGTGACTCTTGTTCTTTAAATTTTTTGGTCTTCGAATTTACAATCATTTGCCCAAACACTTAGATTTTATATTAAAGCTGCAATTTTTTCAGACCGAAGATTATTATATTATATTATTGATTGTTATCGTTGACATTCAAAAATGTCTAATGATTCAAATAATGAAGCTATTATTCTTTATTGCAAGAAACTAATGCTAAATTTCTGGCATTTTATAGGATTACAAAAGAATCATATAATACATAACTAATAAAATAACAAAACAATCTAGAAACTAGTCGTAAAGCATCCTGCACCTACAGTTACAGTCTACTGATCACTAACGCAATGCTAACCGGTTACTAACTAATAGCTCTGTGTATACTCATTAAAATACATGAACAGTAACTAATAATCAACTTGTTGGCAACTAAAGTTTGCAACTGGTTTCTTTTTAGTTGCTTCATGTTCTTTGCTTTGATAGCTTCCGCATTTTTTATCTTCAAATGCTGTCTTATTGAATATCAAAGCTATTACTGCATATTTTTCTTGGAATTTCCATATTCGACCTTATATAGACGTTTCTAATGGTATTCTTAATAGTGTGTTCTTTAACATATTACTCCTGTGGTTATTCTAGTTTTTATCCAGGATCCAGCCATTTATGTTCTCTGAATTACATGTTTAAATGAGATGTCTATTAAATGTTAGAATATCCCAAAATAATATATTAAATGGTTGGTATTACTCACCTGTAAAATTTGGTAACCATGTGTACAAAAAAGGGTGTACATATATAAAATTATTAATATAATTTGAGTGTATAAGAACTGTAGTAAATAGAGCTGGTTCAAAATAATTAGGATATGTAGTAAATGGTTATACAGATTATAGCAAATCAAGTTTATAAAAAGTCTTACCAATACTGGTGCTACACACACTGGCAGTATTTATAGGCTTTCACTTGAGGTTGTTCTTCATACAAGGAGAGGTGTCTTTACCTGTTTCTCGGCACGTGTCTCGCGATACTAAACACTTAGATCAAAAGATAGAGCACATTTGCGTTTGTTGTCTCTATTATCCAAAAGAGGATTCGCGGTATTTTTCGAGTAACTATCAGAAAGAGAAAGAGATGATGTCTGTTACTAGCGGATGTCAACAGTCAAAGAGAGAGGACGTCTGTGGCTAGCAAAAGTCAACAGTCAAGAGAAAACATCTGTTGCTAGTTTCAGTCAACAGTCGAAAGGCAGTCTTTTCGTTTGCTATGTTAAAACTGTCATTATTTCTAAAGGAGTAGGGTTGAACTGGGAGTAAGAAAGGTTGAAGTAGAGTAATGATTTAAGATGAAGAATTAATACAGCAAAAATGACATAGTTTGCTTGTAAAAAATTGAAAACCATGTATACTGTTTCATGATTAAAGTCAGTTGAGAACATGCTCACGCTAATTTGTTTTAGTCTAAGATTAAAAACATATAAAATAAGCAAAATATTTACCTAATTCCAATTGATTATTCGCAGAATCGGAGCTACTCTCTGAATTTTTATCTACACCTTCCAAATACTGTCCAAAAGAACTACTTTCCACGTTCTTCGCATTCTTGGAAGTACTAGAAAACCATTTTGACAACTTTTCACGTTCAGTTTCTAGTTTCTTACAAGTCTCCACAAGAAACAATATATCGTTTCCTTTTCGAAGTAGATTTTCCAAATAGTTTTTGGTGCTAGAAGCGGCTTCCACTAATAACTTCAATTTTTTGTCGTCGAGTTGTAAATCACGATGAAGAGCGGTACGAATGTTGTTAAATTGTTTTTGTAAAACGTCTAGTTCTTCGTTGAGGGTTGTTAATTGTTGTTCCTGTGCAAGTTGAACCTCTTCTAGTTCTTTCTTTAACTGGTCTTTTAATGCCTAGAATCGAAATAAAAACCTAAACATAGTGAGAACCAAACTAGAGAATGATGATACATTGACAATTAAAACACAACTGAAAATATCAGATTTAATGGAGCTATTACCATTATACACTGATAACTATAACACATATTTTTATTTAGACAACAAGATTTGGATTAGCCACGGGCTCTTCACTATCTTTTTATTAGCAGATATATTCACTTAAAAATATATTTTGTATTCTGATAAAAAACGCACAGTATGGTGGAGATATGTAGAAAAGGAAAACAATACCTCATTACCAGTTCTGAATGTGTTAATCACAAAAGAGTATATAGGATATGAAATTGAAATATAATAATTGAAACAACAAAACCCAAAAAGAAAGATAACAGCAATATGTAGAGGGCTTGTAAAAAAAATTAAAAAGGATAGTAAATAAATGTATTATAATAACATTTAAAACAACTAACATACTAAGATATATTGTTTCCAAATCCAAACGCATCAAAACACAGGAGAAACCAAAGAACTGCACTTTGTAAAATACTTTGTAAATGCAACAATTTTTATCTGGGAGAAACTTTAGAACCACTGAGTGTTAAAATAATTGAGCATGAAGCATATGCAATATTGGCCTTTCAAACTAGAGCCCGATGGGTGTTAAAATCGACATCATTCACCAAGGAAACATAGATATTAGTTTTCGCATTTTTATTACAATACAAACGAAGAAATAAATATTAAGGAGGAAGAGGTAAAGGAAGCATTAAGGAAATTAAAGAATAGAAAATTACCAGTAGAGTACAGAATATCAAATGAACTCCTAAAGTACGGAGGACCAGATCTGACCAAACAACTATTAAAACTAATCCAAAAAATATTAGAACAAAGCAGAATTTGCCCAAGAATGGAGATAAATCATCCTAATACCTCTCTTCAAAAATAAGGAAAATTACAGAGGAATTAATTACTTAAACACAACATTAAAATTGACAACCAAAGTGATAAATAAACTGAATGAAATGATATCACTAGCAGAAGAACAACAAGGTTTTAGGTCGGGAAGATCATGCTATGCTATATTTATAATGAGGCAAGTACAAAAAAAAATCATTAGAATACAACAAACCAACATATCTATGTTTCGTGGACTTTAAGAAAGCCTTTGACCGGGCACTTATTGTACGCAAGAGAGATACCTCTAGGAATAATCAAAACGATCAATAATATGTACCAAAGCAACACAATAAAAGTAAAAGTAGAAGAAGAACTTACTGATCTTATTGAAGCTGGCACATTCTATTGTTTAACCTGATTATGAATGAAATAATAAAAAAAAATAAGAACTAAAAAAGGATACCAAATGGGAGGAAAGGAACTTAAATTATAATCTGCTATGCAGAAGACGCAATGCAGCTCTCTCAAAGTAAAGGAAGATGAAAATCATGAATGTGTTGCTTGTGTTAGTCCATATCAAATAGGTAAAGAAATAATAATAAGACTTACTCACAATCAATTTAATTTAACAATCAGACGACCGCTTTCGCTTTCTACAATTTGCAAAGCATCTTCAGGTCTAGATACAAAGTTAAACTAATGCTGCAATAAAATAAACCCAATTAGGGTGGTGTCTAATAAAGATAAAATAAACAAATAAGTTAGTTCATACAAATTATAGTAATTATGCCAATATTACATGTCTGTGGTTTTCAAAATGAATAAATTTGAATATATAAAAGGTATTAACAGACAAGGTAAGACCCACAATTGGTATAAAGTAGTAATATTATATTGTAATAAATTAATAAATGAGCAGATAAATAAAACAAAACAAACATTACTTACATGCCGGTACTCTATTAATTGATGGATGGTAGGTCATGGTTGCAAAAATCTTGTATTGTTGATTGGAGAACTTTAATGTGCTATTGCAGTTGTTTTGACAATAAACGGGAAGTTCTTGAGGAGAACAGATTTGATCCAATGAATTAGAGATAGGTATATTGTGGTTGTTTGTCAAATGAAAGTGATGTTCTTTACTATTGTATTATTTAAATTATTTACACTTATATCAGAGATATATTTTTGGAATGTGTGTTATTTATTGAGTATTTATGTTATGAAGGAGACAGTTTTATGACAATGAATAAGAGTAGCTGTACCGATTGTGTGGTTGTGCAATTATTTGACTTGTAATTATCAAGTCTATTGGCAAAATTAATCAATTATTGTAAAGTCAAGTATATAAAAAGTATATAAAATTATTACAAATTAAGACAATCAGGGACAAATTAAACACACATTAACAGGAACAGAAACACTAAATGACGGGACAAACATTGAATTTAAAACTTAAACTTGGGGAATGGAAGAAACTGCAAGCACTACATCTCAGTGTTGGAAGTAATGAGTTTTTTTATATTTAATCTATTAGATTTAAGAGGCAAATTTGACATATGTAGGTTGAAGTGTGACAGTTCTTCTTCTATTACTAAATACTGTAAGTTTAGTTATTCAGTATTATGGAGTATGTTGATATTAATGAATGTCTCAAAATTTGTTTTAATTTAGAAATCAAAAGTAAATTGATGTGTTTAATATTGGCATACTTTAACAATTTTAATTAATAAGTTTCAAATTCAAAAAATTTTTATGTAACAATGTGAATAATTGAAATACATCATCTATTATAACTAACCAATTTTAGTCTAAATTTTTCAGAACAAATTAAAGTGATTATTTAGTAAATGCAAACAAGTGTATTGTAATTAAAAGGTATAACAAATTTACAAATTGCCTGAAAATTTTTTTATTTGAAATAATTGTCGGTCTGAGCTATCTGTTATGGTGTATAAACATTTCTTAAAATATTTAATTTAAATTATAATAATTAATAATTAAATAAAGTAGTAATTGGGTGAATATGATGATTATTCAAATTTTGAGTTCGAGTAATTGACTGACTTAAGTCTTGAATAATTAGTTTACCTATTTTAAAGGAAGATGATTTACAACGTATGCTGCCTCAATTTAATATAATCGCCAGATTTAACATGTTAATTTCCCCAAAAAAATACTAAGATGTAAATTGGAGCTGAAAGGTCAGATAAAAACGCTAAAAATGTATCACGTTATTCGTTATAGACCTACTTTCAATTCTAAATGAAAGTAAACATCTAAATGTAAACTATGTTATAAATTATAATTAATTTAAGGGATTGTTTCACCCATGCTACACATACATTAAAAATAGAGGCTTTGATAGATCCCAGGTATGCAAACATGTCTGGGACAATGAGCACAGTGCAATCAAAAGGGCTTTTAGCAAATCAAAAAGAATGATAACGGATTTACCTCTTCTTGTTGAATTCGTTCCTTATTTTGAATGACTTCGATTGCTGTTTCGGAATCAAGGATCTTGAGCTCAGCAAGATGCATTCGTCTTGGATCTGTTCGTTCGATATATCGTTGCACAGTAGCGTCGATGTCATTCCAAATGAGACTGCAAACCTCTTCTCGAGCTTGTCGCATCTTATCTATTTTCGACTGCAGCTACAATTAAAAAAAAATATGTGACCGTGAATTTTTAACTAAAATAAGTAAAAATAGTTTAAAAAGATATCCCTTGTACTACAATAAACTCACTAAAAATTTTTTTGGGTTTCTTTTATCGTTATATACATTTATATATTATAATCCTCCACTCTAAATATTGTCAGCTTACTGTCTTCATTTGCTGCCATCCTATGCCATATGTACGGCTTCATGTAGGGATTTTCTCACCAGAGTCTTCATTTGGTCTGATCATGTCTGTTAAATATGTAGTAGTAACGCACCTTGCTGGTGCTTGAAGTAAAACGACTCTTAAAAAAAGCAAGCAATTTAATTAAATCCAGCCGTGAGATTACGTTCTGCAGATGCTCCAGATCATCCTTTTTCGCCCTATATCACTATGATACGCGATAGGGGCACAACTATCAGTCAAATACTCTTCATGTGAGAGTCCTGGGTAATAGAATTCCAACATGGTACCCTATTTGATTAAAAATTCAGGCTAGCGTTAGTCGCTTTATTCCTATTGTTCTTCCCGTCTTCTACTGAATGTTGGCGACCATCAAACGATAGGTTTCTCTGTTTTGTGCCGCATGTATTATGTTCGCAGCTTCTGGTATTTGAAACCATTCTCTCAAGTTTCTCAGCCAGGATTTCTTCTTTCTGCCAAAACCTCTTCTACCTTCAATCTTGACTTTCACGATAAGCTATTTATTCTGCAGTATCATCTGCATATTGAAAATTACTTATTGTAATGTGCCGTGGGCGATACCCTCGTTGTGTTCTTCCAGTGCCTCTAGATATATTTATTCCGTGTAAAGGTTGAAAAGCAGTGGCGAAAGAATTCAACCCTGTCTAACCCCTCTCGAAATGGTTACGTTTTCACTCACTATATGTCCATTCTTTATGTGGGCTGTTTTTGATTCCAATATAGATTTTTTATAATCTGGATGTCCTTAGTGTCAAGTCCTGTAAGATGTAAGAGTTCTATGAGTTTGTCATGTTTGATAGTATTGAATGGTTGCTCATAGTCGATAAAACAGGCGTAAACATCTTTCTGTTGATCCAGGCATTTTTGAATCAAGCCTTGTATTGCAAAGAGGGGCTCTCGAGTTTCAAAACCGCATCTAAAACCGAACTAAGTTTTATTTATGCTGTGTTCTAAGTGACTTATCCGCGAAACTAAAATTGCTTACTTGGTCCTCAAGTCTTCGCTCTGAGCTAAGCCCAGTTTGGAAACTTGTGTGGTTTTTATAATTATTTTGTTGGCTTTCGCTGTTTTTTTGTTATTAATTTTTGTAATTTTTTTGGTGGCCAAAGCCGTTTTTTTTTGCGTTTTCTATAATTTGTTTTGTAGGAAGTCCTGTAACAGCTACTGCGCTTGTCCACGTTGTTATAAAGCTACGAACGTTTATGTGATGTTGTTATTGTTGATGTTTTATTTTCTCTCCAGTGATTTTTGAGTTCTCTCTGGTATCAAAATGACTCTTCCGGTCGACATGGTTACTTGTATATAGGATCTTATAGAATCTTTCATGGATTCTTCGATTGGTCTATCCGATTTGTCACAGTCCCCACATGGAACCTTGTATACTCCTTGATTTTGCCATACACTGGGGGCCATACTTCTCCATTCTATCATTGATTATAAAGCAGTAAACTTCCTTTTCATTTTTGTTATTCTCTGTTAAGGCTTTCTGATTTGTTAGTGACAATTGTGTTGCCTTCATCCAGTATTAATAACGACATTTTAGTTTTAGCTGGTTGGTACTGTTTTTATTTTTCTGTTATAGTGCTGCCTATACTATACGTTATATGCCTATACTTCATCCAGTGTAGGCAACGACATTTTAGTTTCAGCTAGCTGGTATTGTTTTTATTCTTATGCCGTTATTAAAATTATTATTTGCCTATCCTCTGCAAGAAATTGATCTGCATCACCTTTTATAAATCCTGGAATGTTTACCTTGTTACTCTTTAGTATTTTTAATTTCCTATGAAATTATCTAGACTGCCTGGTTCTGTGGTTAGTCTCAGGTAGTTGTATTCGTATTTTATTTTTTCTTAATTCTGTAGTTCCCATTCAGTACAATTTCAGTATATGGCTCATTAAACTTACTATCCTTTGTTCATTACATTCGTTAGCGTTGTTTTTCTTAGGAATTGCAATGGAAGTAGAAGTCGGAAAACATCCAGTATTTCTTCTGTTTCATAGAACGTATTAAAAAGTTTGGTAAGCACATTTACATAAGCACATTCTCTTATTCTCTCATTTAACAACTTTAATAGTTCAATAGGCTTCTCTTCGTGACCAGGAGCCTTTCCGTTTTTCATGTTTATGAGCATATCTAGTACTTCTTTATTTATTACCACTGGTCAGCTGTCTGGTTCTTGTGAAAAAGGCCTTCTATATATTCTTTCCATGTTCGTATTTTTGTTTCGTTGTCTGCTGCTATCTGCCCGTTGTTGTCAATTAGTTTATTTCCATGCTTACCTATGTAGCTTCCGATGATCTTTCTAATCTTATTAAGTATGTTAAACAAGTAGTGCGATTCTTCTAGATAGTCTATTTTACAGCATTTCTCGTTCAAATAAGTTTCCTTTGATCGAAATCCCAATTATACATTAATTGTGTTTTTGTAATACATTAAATGTAACAACAATAGAAGACCTTAAATTTTTAACCAATATACACAAACAGCTTAATTTAACAAGTTTAATGGAATAATGGCCGGAAGTATCAATATTGTATCTGAAAGAAATTGATTGACAAATTGGTTTCGCGTTCATTATTCGTTCCTGATCTCGTTAGTGTTTGTTTATCGTGTTAATTTGGCATATATCCTATTATTATTGAAACAAATCAGCGATAAGTGAGCTTCTTCTCACTATAAAATAAATATCTGCTCTCGCGGTTTGCATTACAGTTGTTCTGACTGTGTTCAATCATGGAATATTTTACTGTATTTTTAGTGTTATGTGTTGTAGGATCTTTAGGGGTAAGTAAAAAAATATTATATAAATCACCTTATAAGACAGTGCCGTATAATTTAGTATAGAAAATATGATATGCGTTTTGAAAGAAAGACTTTTTAAAATAATATTAATAATGATACATTATTCTTCTTCTTAGGCCATCTTCTAATGAAGGTTTGCAATTACTTCTTTAAATGCTTTTATATCTTCTACACTAGAGTTGGTCCAATCTCTAATATTACACAATCAAGATTTCCTTTTTCTTGTCAGGACTTTCTTCCTTGCGTAATTGCGTGTAACAGAGAGTACTGTTTTCATTTCCAAGATTACAAGTTCCAGATACGATGTCTTTCCTATTTTAACTGTCTTCAGAAGTTTTTTCTTGTATCCAATACATGTTAATACTTCTTTATTTCTGATTTTAGCCGTCGAAAGAATTTTAAAAGTGCACTAGTTTCTATATTTTTATGGATTGAAATTTTAAGTTTTTATACATATAGCAGCTGCTGCCAAACATAGTATGGATCGCTCTGTGAAAAAAGGTGTAACGCCGATAATCACTTTGAGTGGTTTAACTATCTTTGTTTGTTAGTTTATTAGTTAGTTTTTGAGATTTATAATTAATATAAAGTGGAACTAATTGACCCTCGGTATTTCCACGTACCATTAAAGAAGTACATCCTTTAGATACGTTTCTAATACTTTTGGGATACTTTGTTCCTCATTTAGTTATTATTTTCGTTTGTCCTGGGTCATCGACAAGATTAGTTTCATCATAATTCCAAATGTTACATGCAGGAGTGCCTTGTATTTCTTCCTCCAAATTATCAAAGAAGTTATTTATGATTTCTTTATCAATATCAGCTCTAGTATGTGAAATATTTGGCGCCTTCCTGTATACGCCTAATAAAATTGCAAATGTATTATTCTGTAGGCTCTTAAATGCGAGTTTGGAAATAAAAACGGAGACAACGTTAGGCAAGCGCTAAGTCAATGTTTAAACAGTAACGAAACTGAGCATTTTTGGAAAATGGCAATGGAAGATGAATCGGAAGAGGGTTCGTCTGAAGAAGATAGCCATTCCATGACGAACAGCATGAAAGGTAAGCTAAATCAATATTAGTAATACTAAATATTCAGTAATCTGAATCTTTTATCAAATTCAGTAGTCTGAAGCTTTTATCAAATAAATGGGACAGATAATTATATATTTATCAGATGTTTCGGCTTGTAGGTAGTAAAGAACCTATTTATCTCTTATTTAAACTTATTTTTTTCTTAATTAATATATGGAAATCATTCGATTAAAGATAATCATGAATTCAGTTACAACTTTGTTTAACTACAAAAGAGTAAAACGTTATATTTCCTTAATATATTATAAATTATTAAATTTTCTCATCTGAGAAGGAAAATTAATGATAGTTTTTGAAAATTAAAAATCAGTGTTTCATATTTTAGCGTTTGGCGTATTTTAAATTAAAATGAATATTGAAAACGTCCTATAATTGGGAACGTGTTTACTTATTTGATATTTTTATGATTTAAGGTTCCAACTCCAGTACAAGCGCTAAAACAAAAAGAGCTGCCGATAAAATGGGTAAACCAGGAACTGATACAGATAATAACACAACTGAGGAACCAGTTAATGGAGACACAAACGAAGCTTGCATTGTTCAGTGTGTTTTTACTAATATGGATCTGGTAAAATATATTTTTATTCATTAACATATACCATAATGTATTTTTAGACTTCAGAATGATCTATATATACATCTATTTGAACAGCCAAGCACATCGATCTTCAATCATAATCCTGGCTATCCTTCTTCCATCTTGATCTATTGTGGAATATCTGCATTCGTCTCTTTCATATTAGTCGTAAAAAATTAGAACATAAACTGTAGGGCAATGAATATTTATTGCAGCCCACATCATAACTTGTAGACTACTATATAGACGAGTACCCTGTATATGCCTGAATCTCTCTTGTGGTCCAGGTCCTTTCAAAAATTTTATTCTTT